GATATAATATCAGACGTTTACCTCAAGAACTCCTGGATAATCTGGTGCTTAGCATGGAGAGACGATGCCTAGCAACAATTACAGTAAGGGGACGGCATATCCCATACTAGGGAACATCTGCCAGTTGTACTTACGCTTCTTCAGGCAATCATGTGTAAAGCCACTATAAGTCAAATAAAGTCTTTTTTTGTTCCATAACCTACTTTAAGATTTATATTCATTTCTGCGCCATTATTCTTTTGCCATCGTTTAAGTACAAAATAATGTACATCATATTCAAATTTCATGTCAATCGGGTGATTTCTTGTAGATTTATGACAAAAAACGCATTTGTTGCTTAAGTTTTGCACACTAGTGTATATCAAAAATAGCTCAAAATTAAAAATATTAAAACTGAAATTCCAGTTTATAAAATCGAAAAATACTTGATTAAATACTATCCAAAACAGGATAAATTTCTGAATGTTAACGAACAAAATAAAAACATTTAACATTTTTCATTATAAAAAGAAGAAGAAAAAACAGCTGACCTGTACAGGTTGTGAAAGTAGACCAAAACCTTGACCTGAATTCATGCCAAAAGCATTGATGATCCAAGTGGTGGGAATCGAAGGAACAGGAATATTAAAAATGTAATGGCCCAAAGGTCTATAATTCAGTGAAAGAATAAATATTTTACACAAAAAATATTACCCAATCACAGAAATACATAATTGCATGTTTGAAACATCTAAAGAACACTATTTTAAAATTTTGAGACATACTAAAATGTTTAAAACTGTTTAAATGTTTTAAACTCGGAAAATTTTACATTAGCTCCTTAAAATACTGAAATTTCAAATTTTTGCAATTAGAAAAACAATTGACTTACATTTTTTTTTACTGTTCCATAAACATTTCACTAGTGGTGCTATGAACGTGAAAACTTTTGAGATGATATTTATTAATTGGAGATCAATTTAATTCATAGGAACTTAAATCACAATAAAATTATGTTTAGCTTAACGAAGTCTAACTTACTAATGAATACATTGATTTAATTTTCAAAACAGTTGAGATTCAATCACTATTTAATAAGAATGGAAATATATTCATTATACATAAACATTCGGCACTTTGCAGATTTAGCAATTCCCAATAATGAATGCTTTTCAAATTATGAAATTATGGTAAGTTTTTAGGGGATTGAAAGCATATCTCTGAGACATTTATGCGTGAAATAAAATTTTACTAATAAGAATACTGAATAATTAGAAGAATAAATAAATAAGATTTAATATAATAATATGCTTCAATGTCTTCTGTTCATGAGTAATAATTAATTCACGTGTAAGCAACTCACCCAATATTTATGTCCTTCCAGAGCCAAGAACTGTCGTACATTTTCTGAATGCGGTTTATTCGAATTCGATGGAACTCCGGGATGTTTATCTGCTTAGTGGAAGGACCTATTAAAATAAGAAAATGACGCGATTACTCTTTTTTTAGACACATACTGCGAAGAAAAAGTAAGCGATTACGTGCAAAGTAATTGAGCATCGTAGATATGTATACTTACGACGAATATGTCTGCAAAAGACTAAGTTTGAACATCCCAATTGTGTAGCATGACAGAGATAGTACAAAAGGTATGAATTATGATTGAACAAATAAAAATATATGTAATGAGAGATAAGTATGTGGTATTTTACATAGATACAGGAATGTAAACCGTTAGTAATATGTAGCCGAGCTATTTTAGTAAGGGTCACCGTTTGCGCCAAAAATCTCCATAATCTTTGCTTCTCAGAAGATGGGGAAAAGGTTTGATGAGCTGATGTTTATGGTTGAACGATGCATGTATTTATCTATGCGATTTATATAGTGATATGAAAAAATATATTTCGTTTAGAATCTCTGAATTCATATTTAGGCGCGAAAAGAAGAGCAAATGCTTTTGAAACCTGACAAATCACTATTGAAGAAAATAGGTGTACAGTATGCAAAAAAGTAAACAGAATAAATGGGCCACTCTGAAAATTTTTTGATCTAATTATTCGGTCTTTACGTTCTTGAATTCAATCTTAATGATTCGAGATTTTATCTTTCAAATTTCTCATTTTGTCATGTAAAATTACATTCTTTAAAATGATGTAAAAAAAAAATTCTTACAATATCATACAAATAACACAAATTCTTCCCAATATCTTACAGTTCACAATTTTTTAGACTTTTATTAAATAAAATAACAGAAATAATAGATATTGACTACAAAATTTTTTTTTGCATGGAATTATCTTTGAATAAACGAATTTTATAATTGTATGCGAACATTTTTCGATTCGCTTAAAATTTTTAGAGATATGGCAAAATAACATTAAGACGTCTAAACTTAAGATCCCTCTTCTGACCAAACTATTAGGACCATATTTCCCAAATTGCCGCTATTCCTATATGTTGAGGATAAAAAAAATCCGGATCCATTGAAAAGAAGGCATGCTTATTTAGAGAAAGTAAGTTTTTGTGTATGATTTCCTAACTTAGAATATCGACTGCTAATTAATTGACGAATTAAACGGAACTAAATCGGGAAGAGATCAATGGGACTGAAACGACAGTACCGAAAAGGTGGGTCCGAAATGACCGATAAATACATAGTTTCAAATTTATAATCCTAATATACTAATTAATCCTAATACCAAGTCTTTCACGGAAGTTATATGCTTTTATTGTAGAATACTGTTTCCGCATTCCTAGTTTTTCACATTTAACTTATACATTATGTCATCCAAAATATCGTTAACGTACCTAACATGGAGACATTAGACAGAAATTGAAATGCTTGTTACTTTCGCTAAAGGGAAACATTTAAATAAGTTGATTCAACAACTTACATCCACTTTCATCAGATCCATCAGCACAATCTACAAAACCATCGCATCTTTTGTGAGATTTGTAGCAAGTTCCATCCATGCAAGCTCTCTGTCCAGCAGCTTCAACACAGTCATCTAAAGATAAATAAATAGAGCATCGTTATTTGCCTCTTATAAGGTTATTAATATAAAATGCTCTGTAAAGATCACTTTTAATATAGAAGATATTGCGTAATGACCATCGTTCATGTATATTATTAGAATTCTTGTAAAAAAAATGTAGTTTAAGAGTTAAACAAGCAATATAAAAAAAAAAACTTTAAAGTCAATTCCAACTTAATTTATACCTGCTATACTAAATTTAATTAATATTAATTTAATTTAATTAATGAATTAATATTTGAAAAAAAACAGTATTAACATCAAGTGTAATCCACTACAAGTTTAAAAAATGTATTTGAATTTGAGTGGATGAATAAAAAGAATTTCATTAACGATTGAAAATTTGAACAAGATATATAAATATACACAGTATAGAACCCGTTATCCGGAAATCGGAAAACCAAAAAACCGGAATGAAATTCAATAAATTTTCTCGCCATTTTTAAAAAAAAAAAAAATTTCTTCTCATAAGATTTTACGATTTTTCTTTCTTTTTTTAAAGATGTTTACCTTATCATCATTTTGGAAATAATCATTAGTGTATTACTTCATAATTTTTTTCTTATTTTTAAGATTATTTCCAAATAATTTTTTTTTTAGTTGGGTTTAAAAATAAAAAAACGGCTTTTTGTAGCGATTCAGAAAACCGGAAAAATCAGTTATCCGGAATAGCGATGGTCCCGACCGTTCCGGATAATCGGTTCTCTACTGTATATAGGAAGAGTGTGAACTAATTGTAGGAATTGGAAAAAAAAACGCATTAGAGGTCACAAAAAATATGAAAATTACTATTTAGAATGGAACACTACTGAAGAAGACACACTAAAAGCATCAAAATCGAAGTGATTGTTAAAAACACCTTCAAGACAAAACCAAACCACCTTCATCACTATTGATTTTTTGAGAGATTTCAGATTTCAATACCTCTTAGGGCTTAATTTTTTGACATAATTCTTGATGTCAAAATGCATACTCACAAAGGGATTCTAAAAGTATACATCATGGGCTGCCATTATGGGACACACTATGTATTTTCTATTCTTCCAATAAGTAAAGTAAAAAACAAAATCATGCGCATCCGGATTGGTGTATATTAAGCAATATGAATCTGTAACACTTTGATTAATCCTTATTAAAGTCGGTTTAAGCAAAAGAAGGAATAAAAATCATCAAAGATCAGTTTATTTATATAAATAGGATTGGAATGCATTCGTTTTTCGCTAGAAACCACTATTAAGATGTAATTTTCGAATAAACTGGTTTTCTTGCCTTAGATTATTTCAATCCCTTCTTTGCTGTTACTGACATCAATAATGATTGGACAGTATCCGTTAGCGCAACACTCGAATACGCAATCTGGGGAGAAAACCAATTCCATGTCTTAACCCTTTCCCTCTCCCTTTCCTCCTCTCTGATCAGTTGTATGGGAACATACAACGATATTTTCCCCATTCAAGTAATATTTTTCACATTTAATTGTCGAAAATATATAAATTAAAATTTTTTATGAGAATCTAGAGACCTTCATAGATAGTGTCGCATCTCTAATTTAGAAGCAGCAATTGCTGTTTATTTTTGAAAATTTAATTTTTTTTTCAATTATAGTTTTACAGTGTTAATTTTGTATCTATTTACAATTTAAAAACTCCTTGAAAAAGTTTTTTGCAATAACAGGACCCTGGTTGAAAGAATGTGACTTAACGTTTATCTTATATTCACAAATTACGAGTAATTTTTTCACAATTTTACAAAAACAGACCTTTCACAAAATGTCTGGACAGACCCCTGTTTATATTAATCAAAGAGTTAAACAGATAAAAAAAATACGAAAAGTATTTTGCTTTACCTTTTTGTTTTGGTATGTGTGCATCAGTAAAAACTACTAGCCCAGCATACTGAAAATAATAATATTAATTAGATATTATAAACAAAAAAGTATCTGAAAATTAAATTACATAAATATGGAAAGCCTATTATCAATTACCTCAAATATCTTGTAAGCATCGATGCCGTAAGAAGCTGTGGGAAAACTCACGAATCTATTTGATTTTCCAGTTCGTGATTGCCACGAGAAAGACAGGGTTCCGTTCCTATGCTCGTCAAAAGCATTCATTTTTTCCATCACCTTAATAAAAAAAAAGTATCCTTCTTAAGTAACATTTATACATATTACCTAAAGTTTAAGCTTTTAAATTATTAGTATTATATAAATTAAAATTTTTAAGAGAATCTAGAGACCTTCATAGTGTTGGGGAAAAAATTTTTTTTTCAATTATAAATATTAGTTTGACTACTTGAATTTTTTAATACAATGACGTAATTCCTTGTAATTTTTTAATGTAATGATTTATTACTAACGCAACTATTAGTGATAATATTACTGTAGTTTTTATTTTAAATACGATTATTGGTGTCAGCCGACATAAATGTGAGTTTACAACTACCAATGTTCAACTCCGTAGCTTGTAATTTTGAATCCAATCTAGAAGACAAGGGAACTCCTGGAACAGTAATCCCAGAGGATTGATTTTTTATGGGAACTTGGAAGACTTTGTAACACCGACACATTTAACTTGCACCAGTCACTATTTAATACACGGATTCGTTGGTCTGCTAGATTCGAACTCCCGTTCTCAGGAACGCGAGTCAATGCCCTACCAACCAGGCTATCTTGGGCCCCTATATGTAATTATTAAAAAAGTTTACAAATCTTTACATAAAACACTCGTGGTAGCGGAGTGTACATCGAGACTCCTGATGATAAAGTTTCCCTCTGCCAGCGTACCCCAGACTTCCGTTCTGTTTTCAGAAGTGAACTTCTTGCTGTCAACAGGAGTCTGGAATTTGTTATGCACAATGACCTTTGTTTTGAAGACCTTTGGATACTCTCTGATAGCCGCAGCTCCCTGCAACATCTCACCAACTGGACCCAAATTGGTGACAAAACCAGTATTTCCATCCTTAACAAAGTAAAACCCTCGTCCCTTCAACATAATATTCACCTGCAGTGGATTCCTTCTCACGTCGGTCTCTATGGAAACGACTTAGCGTACAGCCTGGCTACCGTACCCTACCTCTTCTGATCTTACATATCTTGAACTTTACTCCCTGAAGAAATCCTAGCTTCTCAGAGACTGGCTGATACCCCCACCCACCATTGGTACAAGGGAAATAAGCCTGGAGTTTCTTTGACTCTTCCCTTTGAAATGAGATTTAGCTATCGCCCCCCCTAGCTACCGGCCATCTAAAAGGTTTACTATTTTCCGAAGGAACTAAAAACCTATCCCCTTAGCCCTAAATGCCATCTACACCAAGCTTCCGCCGATCATATCCTGGACTGTCATGGTCTTCTCTGGGAAGACATCTACTCTACTCCTCTTTTGGTCTTCGATTTCATTCAGGTCAACGAGTTCAGTGATCTGGTCTGACCTAGTCAGACCAGAAGAGGATAAGCAACAGCAACATATAAGTTACGAAAATTATACTTTTATTTTCACCTTTTCAATTGCTAACATTAATATTATAGTTGCCAACTGTCATTTTTGTACTTCGACATTGGAGTAGAATCTTGTTTATAAAAACGAAATTATAGTATCCCCATTTTTTGTGCCTTTTTCACGTTGTTCAACTTTATTCCTATGTGGCGTGAAGTAAATCCTATCATAATTTCGTGTATCTCTTATTTCTCAAAAGTCAGTTTTAATAATGTTTTATTAATTCAAGAAAGAAATCATTTCCTGAAATATATACTAATTGCCTGCTTGTTTTTTATGTAATGAAAAAAGAAGTGGGATATTCAAGTTTGAATGATCGTGGGGCGGAAACTCGAATAGAGAACATATGAAGTTATGCATAGAATCTTAGTTGAGCAAAATATTGCATGATGGAATCTCGCTCAGGCAAAATGACGTAGGATGAACTCTTATACACAGCCAAAATATGGGGATAAAATCTCTCTTTGAAAAAGTATTGTTCATAGAATCTTGCACGAAAAGAATCTATTTCAGACCAAAATAAATTTGGATTTAGAAAATTGTATTCACTTGGAACTTCTCACGGAAAGAATTTGTTCTGGATAACTACGAATTGGATTTATAAAATTGTATCCACTCGGAACCTTACTTTACAGATTCTATTTAGGACAAAAATTAATTAGATTAAGAAAATTGCATTTACTCGGAACTTTACATGTAAAAATTCTGTTTTGGACAAAAATAAATTGGATTTAGAAAAGTGTATTCAATCGGAACCTTACTTTACAGATTCTATTTAGGACAAAAATTAATTAGATTTAGAAAATTGTATTCACTTGGAACTTCTCACGGGAAGAATTTGTTCCGGATAACTACGAATTGGATTTATACAATTGTATCCACTCGGAACCTTACTTTAAAGATTCTATTTAGGACAAAAATTAATTAGATTAAGAAAATTGCATTTACTCGGAACTTCACATGGGAAGATTCCGCTTTGGACAAAAAATAAATTGGATTTAGAAAAGTGTACTCAATCGGAGCCTCTCACAGAAAAAAAAATCTATTTCTGACAAAAATGAATTGGATTTAGAAAATTGTATTCATTTGGAACTTCTCAAGGAAAGAATCTGTTTTGGATAGCTACAAATGGATTTAGAAAATTGTATTAAATAAGAATCTCACGTTTAAAGAGTCTGCTTTGGACAAAAATAAATTGAACTTAGAACATTGTATTCATTTAAAGCCTCACGCGGAAAGAATATGTTTTGCACAAATACGCATTGGATCTAATGAAAAATATTGCATTAAATAAAATAATTAGTAATTTTTGACTGAGTCTTCGTGCATCAGCCTCAAAGTGCCAATAAGCCATGAGGCGGATTATCCATGCGCTAATATTCAGAAGTTTCTAATATATTTTTTAGTTCTAAAATATAAGTTCTAAAATATTTTTTAGATTTTGTGCTTAAAATAGAAAGGAAAAATAATAAGTACCTCAGCGGGACTCAGGTCACTTCCAGTACGCATTCGATGCAACACGTGATCCACTGCAGACAATCCAACATATGTACCTGGTTGGCCTTCCACTATAACTTCTATGGTTTCACCAGTTTTGTCCTTCTTGTTATTTAGAGTAACAGTAAACTGTGAAAGAATTAAAGTTTAAACACAAGATCATGCAAAACGAGAAAAAATTTAATCGTAAAGTAACAACTTTTAAAGTAGTACTACTCTAAGCAGAATTAATTTTTGTAAATTACTAATTTCCTATTACACTATTATAATCTTATTTCTTCTGAAACTAATTTCTTATAAAATAGAATTTTTATAAAGCTTTATTCTAAATTTTTGGAAAGCTAAAATTATTTGTCTTTAAAATATTTTTATGAATTTCTTATCGTGATAAATAATTAAAAGAGAATATATAAAAAGCATATGATTTCTGCAAAACTTCGTATCGAATTTGAAAATTAATGAAAGTATTAAATTATAAGGAAATCGAAATTATTACTTATCATTAAAATACTTTAGTGATTTTCTTATACCGATAAGTAAACTAAAGTAAAGCATCCCCACAACAGTCCGTTGTGGGCCAAGGAAGTTGAGACTCTACATATTCGTAACCACATATCGTGCTGTGGCAATGTATAGTTTGTCTAAGCTAAGAACTCCTCCTGCCACAAAGTCTGAGGCCGTCTGGTGCTATGGAAACGAGAATGGCGCATTTTAAGGAGGGTAGCTTCACTCTAGGACTAACACATTAGATCGAAGAGATTCCCTTTCTCTCGCAGACCCAACCCGAAAACACTCCAAAACAGGGACCCCGCACCCCTACTTGAAATAGTCATACCTCGTTACCATAGTCACCGCCACAGGTCCAGACGAAAGTCTGAGGGAGTTCTTATTTTAGACAAACTATAGTCTACTTTGATTCGCAATAAATAAATATTATGTAAATTTTAAATATATTTTTAGTAATTACGCAAAACAATGTACATTTTATAGTTTTATATCAAATTTTACGTTGTCAGTCACCATGACTGACGTAGCCAAAGCAGAAAATTCAGTGTCTGATTCGGCCTAGACGTAAAGTTCAGTGTCTGATTCGGCCTAAACAGAAAGTTCAGTGTCTGATTCGGCCTAAACAGAAAGTTCAGTGTCAGTCACTGATGTTTAACCTGGAACTCATCGTGTAACGGTGGTGTGATAGTATAACGTCCTTACTAACATTAGGTAACATTATCACTAACTTGAAAAATGATTTCTCGGGTATAGAATGCTTGAGGAAGCAAAGTTTACTTTTTAATTTAATAACCGTCGTTGAACAGCCGACCCAATTTTATGCGTTTACGACTACTAATGTTCAACTCCGCGGCCTTGTAATTTAGAACCCAATCCAGAAGACAACGGAACTCCTGGATCAAGTATTGGGAGAAATTAACCTTCGCGGAGGACTTTTTGATGAAGCTAACCCTGAGCCATCTCGGCTCAAACAAAGTTTACTGTAAAAAATTCAAAATAAAAAATAATATTTTTAAAAACCACCTTTTTGTAGTGGAGAATAATAATTAAAAAAAAATTGAAAAACGAAAAACGTGGAGCGCATGAAATACATAACAGTAATGTTATAGTGTGTGTATGTGTGCTCTTGAGAATATATGTATGGTATATCTGTAATTGTAATTGTATCTAAATGTGGATGTGGAATATGTTTGTGTATATGCANTTCCCTTAGACAAACTCTACATATTCGTAATCACATATCGTGCTGCGGCAATGTATAGTTTGTCTAAGCTAAGAACTCCTCCCGCCACAAAGTCTGAGGCCGTCTGGTGCTATGGAAACGAGAATGGCACATTTTAAGGAGGGTAGCTTCACTCTAGGACTAACACAATAGATCGAAGAAATTCCATTTCTCTCGCAGACCCAACCCGAAACCACTCCAAAACAGGGACCCCGCACTCCTACTTGAAATAGTCATACCTCGTTACCATAGTCACCGCCACAGGTCCAGACAAAAGTCTGAAGGAGTTCTTATTTTAGACAAACTATAGTCCACTTTGATTCGCAATAAATAAATATTATGTAAATTTTAAATATATTTTTAGTAACTACACAAAACAATGTACATTTTATAGTTTTATATCACATCTTACGTTGTCAGTCACCATGACTGACGTGACCAAAGCAGAAAGTTCAGTGTCTGATTCGACCTAAACGTAAAGTTCAGTGTCTGATTTGGCCTAAACAGAAAGTTCAGTGTCAGTCACTGATGTTTAACCTGGCACTCATCGTGTAACGGCGGTGTGATAGTGTAACGTCCTTACTAACATTAGGTAACATTATCACGAACTTGAAAAATGATTTCTCGGATATAAAATGTTTGAGGAAGCAAAGTTTACTTTTTAATTTAATAACCGTCGTTGAACAGCCGACCCAATTTTATGGGTTTACGACTACTGATGTTCAACTCCGTAACCTTGTAATTTTGAACCCAATCCAGAAGACAACGGAACTCCTGGATCAAGCATTGAGAGAAATTAACCTTCGCGGAGGACTTTTTGATGAAGCTAACCCTGAGCCATCTCGGCTCAAACAAAGTTTACTGTAAAAAAAATACACAAAGTGAGTATTTTACATTGTTTCTGGATATTCCATCGACAGAAAAAGTGAGACTGTCAGCAACTACTTCGCCTTCCCTTGCGATGTCGTACACTACGATGGAGGCTGTGGGTGCCATTTCCGATGACAGAGGAACTGCAAACGTTTTGATGCTCGCCGGCATTTCCTCAACACCCGAAAACAAAACTATCCCTTTCGACAAAATCTGAAAGGAGAAAAATATTATTGGCAAACTATCCATCACCAGAAGCAGCTCTATAAACAAAAAATCTGGTCTGCCCATTTGCAACTGCTATCTATAGCTGTAAAAAATTGCACTTACATTGCATAGAGCGTTACATACATATCCTTGATTAGTAATGTAGAGTAAAAGTTTTGGCTACTGTAAGAATTCAAGTAGGCCTAAAACAAATCGTCACAATTTATAAAGACTTAATTTCTTTTCATTCATTTCGTTCAAGCAAGGGAGAGAAATTGAAATAAGACCTGAAGGGCAGAAAAGGAATTAATTGTTGCTACAAAATTCCAGGATAGGTAAGGCACACCATAAGGATTAAGAATAGCATGGAAACACGTGTCTGCAAATGTCATGGTACACCGCTAGGGGCACTTTCCAATTATGAACTGCTTCTGCGTATTGAAATATTTCTGGAATCGAAATTGATTTCAGAAAAGAAATTAATTTAGCTAATTAGATACAATCAATTTAAATTTTAACATCATTTTTTGGTTGTAATGCGTTTCACCCAGCTACTGGAGATTAATAAAAATTGCTCAGCTAAATGATTTTTATTTTTTACTATGTATAAAAACTTGCAAATGTAAAAAACTGCAATGGGAATTATGCCTTAAACCTTTTTATTCTTCTATGACTTAAATTTCAAAATTATTTTCCATGAACTTCTTGAAAAAAATAACGAAACACACTATGGGTCATCTCAAGTTGTGGGCAAATGTCTTGTTCTAATTTGATATACATTTGTAAAACAGAATCAAAAACGCCTGTATATATTCCTTAAAATTCTCACATGGTGACTAACTCTATTCGAATGTATTTTATCAGATATGAAACTATTAAGAGATGGCAGTGAAAATTTAAAGCACTATAACAGTTTACTATAGACATTAAAAAATTGGTGGTAAGTACACTAAGTACTGCCTTAGGGTTAAATATTCTAAATATATAATGACTGATACCAAAATAATTTCACATTGTAATCTGAGCATTTTTATATAACATTCAAAAACATTTTCCTATCTTCAAAATTTTTTTAAATATTTTTTAAATATTTTCTAAAGTTGAACATGAAAGAATGACAGTTGTCCGATATTTTACTATAATGGCAACAGAGAAAAAACCGGACAAAGGGTAAAGTTTCATTTTTTTTTGTTGTTGCCCAAACAAGCAAAGCATGAAAACATAATCAAGTAAATCATAAAAAAATAACAATTAAATGTCTTAATGCGACACTTAGATATTTAAATAATGTTTCGTAATACTTTTAATATAAGTCATTATTATATAAGTTACTAATGATATAAGTTACGTATAATACATACTAAATATGAAAACTGTTCCACGTAGTAATCAGCTCTAACATGAAAAATAATATATTCTCCAACCTATAAATACAGAAATATTTCTGTAAATATTTATGACACACACACATACAAATATATATATAATTCATTTAGTTTTGCACACTAAAACACAAATGTTCAAAATCAATACTGTTTTAATCGTTATTGATTATCTGGATTTTGTTATTTGATAAAAAATATGCAAATTAAAATATATATATTTTTTGGGGGGTGAAGCTTTTTTTAAGAACCGTGTACAATTTTATTATTTTACTGACAAATATTTCACAACTTGATTGATGCATGCGAATCACATCGAGAGACGAGATGTAGATGTAGTAGATAATCATTTTGTAAATTTAAGTAATGAAATTTATCTTAATCTTAACAAAAAATAAATAAAATATGAAAAAAAATAACACACAGTTGAAAAATTGCGGAATATTAGGTTTGCATTTCGCACAGACAGAATTTCACTTGGAACCGAACCTGAGACCTGAGGCATGGACAAATTATCATGGACAAGAACTTTCTGAGAGGAAAAACACGTATTTTTAAAAAACAGTTGTCGTATTAAAATAATAGTCCATCATCATTTCATTCTTTCTCACTTAACGATAATGTATTTTTTTTTATATTCTTCTACCGTTAATTCAAATAAAGCTTCACATATTATCTTTTACATATTTATATATACATATCTTTCCTTCTAACTGATTTTATTTTAATTTTATAACCGTCGTTGAACAGCCGACCCAATTTTATGGGTTTACGACTACTAATGATCAACTCCGTACCCTTGTAATTTTGAACCCAATCCAGAAGACAAGGGAACTCCTGGATCGAGTATTGGAGAAATTTGCCTTCGTAGAGGACTTTTTGATGGAACTAACCCGCATTTGCGTTACATGGAGAGGAAGACCACGAGAACCGCCCAAAGTTAGCCTGACAGCAAGGGGACTCTAACCCATGATACGTCTACCACTGAGGATATTTCACTCCAGCACTTAGGTTGGTGCATCTTCTGACTGATTAATCCTAACGAATATTCAACATCCGTTGTAATCCAAACTTCCCATTATAAGTTAATAATCGCGTATAAAATCCAAAATTTAATACGCCAAGCACGAACCACAGACAGAAGACACTTCGTAATCTGGCATCTTTCTAACATGCCAATTTTCAAAGTAAACGGCAACCTCGAAAAATTCCTTTTTGCGAAATGATCATTTTTGAGCTTCTAATATTTCTGATTGATAGACTATCTTGCGATCGTATCTCCTTCAAAATAAAACAAGAAAAAAAAACGACCTCCCTAAATTTTTATACATTTATACTTAAAAAATCTTATGTTGTAATTTTTCTATTCATCTGTATCAAATACCACGACATTTACGAACTATATCGAACTTTATATCGTAAAAGAATTTATGTCGAACTTTGTGCACTCAAAATGCAATGTGAGATTTCATACGTCCCATCATTTGTCTTTTTTTCGCTGACACAATTTCAAGTGGGACAGAAAATGATACATAGACAAATAATTGAGCAGCGATGGCTCAGGGGATAGAGCGTTCGCCTTCCAATGAGGTGAACTGGGGTTCGATCCTGGAGATGGCTGGTCAATACGAATTCCGCATCCAGCTTGCACCGTCCACAGTGCTGACGAGAAATATCCTCAGTGGTAGACGGATCATGGGTTAGAGTCCCCTTGCCGTTAGGCTAACCGTGGGANTTGCCCAAATAAGCAAGGCATGAAAACATAATCAAGTAAATCATAAAAAAATAACAATTAAATTTTTTAATGCGACACTTAGATGATATTTAAATAATGTTTTATAATGCTTTTAATATAAGTCATTATTATATAAGTTCTTAATGATATAAGTTACATATAATACATACTAAATATGAAAACTGTTCCACGTAGTAATCAGCTCTAACATGAAAAATAATATATTCTCCAACCTATAAATACAAAAATATTTCTGTAAATATTTATGACACACACACAAGTTACATATATATATATAGTATATATATAGATATAAATTAGTTTAGTTTTGCACACTAAAACATAAATGTTCAAAATCAATACTGTTTTAATCGTTATTCATTATCTGGATATTGTTATTTGATAAAAAATATGCAGATTAAAATGTTTTTTTGAGTGAAGCTTTTCTTAAGAACAGTCTACAATTTTATTATTTTACTGACAAATATTTCACAACTTGATTGATGCATTCGAATGTAGCATGCGAATCACATCGAGCGACGAGATGTAGATGTAGTAAGTAATAATTTTGTAATTTTAAGTAATGAAATGTATCTTAACCTTAACAAAAAACAAATAAAACATGAAAAAAAACACACTTGAAAAATTGCGAAATATTAGGTTTGCATTTCTCACAGATAGAATTTCACTTGGAACTGAACCTGTGACCTGAGGCATGGACAAATTATCATTGACAAGAACTTCCTGTCCTGAAAAACACATATTTTAAAAAAACCGCTGTCGTATTAAAATAATATTCCATCATCTTTTCATTCTTTCTCACTTAACGATAATGTATTTTTTTAATATTCCTTACAATTAATTCAAATAAAGCGTCTCATATTTCCTTTTACATATTTATCCTTTCCTATTATCCTACTGCTATTACATATTTATTCTACTCCTTTTACATATTTCCTTCTAACTGACTTTATTTTTTATTTTATAACAGTCGTTGAACAGCCGACCCAATTTTATGGGTTTACGACTACTAATGCTCAACTCCGTAGCCTTGTCATTTTGAACCCATTCCGGAAGACAAGGGAACTCCTGAATCGAGTATTGGGAGAAATTTGCCATCGTGGAGGAATTTTTTGCTGGAGCTAACCAGCGCTGAACAGCCAACCCAATTTTAGGTTTACGACGACCAATGTTCAACTCCGTAGCCCTGTAACTTTGAACCAATCCAAAAGACAAGGAAACGTCCAGATTAGTACCCCTAGAGGTATTGATTTGCTATGGGAACATGGAGGACTTTGCGACTCGACAGATTTAACTCGTATCAGTCACCATTTACTAAACGGGGAGTCTTCGGCCGACAGGGATCAAACCCACGAACTCTTGGACATGGGCCCAGTGCCCTACCAACCAGGCTATCCCGGCCTCATCTTCTGCCTGATTAGTTCCAACGAATATTCAACATCCGTAGTAATCTAAACTTCCCATTATAAGTTTATAAACGTGTTTAAAAGTCAAAATTCAATACACCAAACACGAACCACAGACAGAAGACAGTTCGCGATCTTACATCATTGTAACATGCTAATTTTCAGGGTAAATGGCAACCTCCAAAAATTCCTTTTGCGAAATGATCATTTTCGATCTTCTAATATTTCTGATTGATAGACGTCTTGCGATCGTGTCTCCTTCAAAGTAAAACGGGAAAAAAACGACTTCCTTAAATTGTCATACATTTATACTTAAAAAAATCATATGCTGTAATTTTACTATTCATCTGTATTTGACAACGGCATTTACTAACGATATCAAACTTTATATCGTAAAAGAATTTGTGTCGAACTTTGTGCGCTCAAAATACAATGTGAGATTTCATACACCGCATCATTTATCTTTTTTCACGGACAGAATTTCAAGTAGGATGGAAAATGAGACATAGACAAATAACTGAGCCGCGATGGCTCAGGGGATAGAGCGTTCGCCATCCAATGAGGTGAACCGGGGTTCGATCCCGGCAATGGCTGGTCGATACGAATTCCGCATCCGACGTGCACCGACCACAGTGCTGACGGGAAATATCCTCAGTGGTAGACGGATCATGGGTTAGAGTCCCCTTGCCGTCAGGCTAACCGCAAGGTTATCGTGGTCTTCCTCTCCATGTAACGCAAATGCTGGTTAGTTCCATCAAAAAGTTCTCTTCGAAGGCAAATTTCTCCCAATACTTGATCCAGGAGTTCCCTTGTCTTCCGGCTTGGGTTCAAAATTACAAGGCTACTGAGTTGAACATTAGTAGTCGTAAACCCAAAAATTGGGCCAGCTGTTCAACGACGGTTATAAAATATTAAAAAAATAGACAAATAATTGTGGGATTGAACTTCTTGAGCAGAAAAACATACATTTTCTTAAGAATAATCTTTCGCGAGCTTAAAATATTTCTATGCGTGACTTTGATCACAGGAGATTTCATGCATGCAAATTTTAGTCGCAAATCAGACTTCTAAAAAAAATTTTCGTGGATTGTCGAAGGTTCTCATTACGATAAATATTATGCATTTTGTTTTTGTACTGCTATACTGTAACTAAAAATGAAACATAAGAAAAATTCATTAAAATGAAACATAAGTAAATAACTAAAGATAAAAGACCTTAGCGTTTCTTGTACTAGTTGAGACCTGCATGTGTCGATTAGATGGTGTGTAAGAAGCATATGCCAATAATGATGTCCTTACTTCTTCTCCTGAATGATCCACATACTTAGCCTGTATAAAAAAAAAATCAATAAAATGTAAGGGTGTCTACTAATTACCACCCTAAATATATACAAAAATAATGTGAAGTATTTGAAGCTGTGTTGAAAGAAAATTACTAGTTCAACAAGGTATTTATTAAAAGTTTAACATTTGATACAATTTTTTCAAAAGACTTATAAATTCATTGAAATCATTAAAATTGTATATTTTTGCAATAGTACTTTTTAAGACTAAATAAAATTTTTCATGCTATCACTGATGTGCTGACAAGTTTCAACTTGTTTATTTTCAATGAACAGAGGCTAAAATAGAGTTATTTTAAAATCAATGACTTTTAGTGTCCTTGTAAAAAAAAAATGAAGTGATTGGAGAGTTACGAATGAATATTCAAATAAGAATAAAAAGAAGAATGTTACCAAACCCTTATGAAATATCTTTTTTTTTCCTTTTCCAACTAAATTTATCATAGTCATTTTATTTGTAAGAAGAATTCAAAAAATAGTGCCATCAATTTTTATTGGTTAGAATATTTAAAAAAAAAAGTGAAGCAATAAATATCGCTAAATATTTAGCAGTTCTAAAGTCGTTTTTCAGAGCTCTTTGTCTAAAAAAACAAAACCTCACAGTTAAGTGCCTTTATTCCAATGCAGTGCTAAAATTGTTAACAACAAATAGTACCTTGCTGAAACAAATTATCTATGTCTTAGAATGGATAAGCATCTTAAATACTTAAAAGAAATCAATTAACTTTTTTAAAAAAAATATCCAGTTGGCAAGATTTTTTCACCTAGAAGAAAATCATTAAATCAATTTGAAATGATTATAATCAATTAATCATTCAAGATTTTAAAAATTCTTAAGAGCACTTTACAATTTCAAAATTATCTGGAATAACATGTTAACTTAAATGTTAACGAAGCAAAACGCGCTGTTATTAAATATTCTATTTAATTAATTCCACCTCCAATCCTGACACCTGAATTAATTAGTTTTAAACAATTTAACCAATTTCTTTTCATCCCCGTCTAGCTGTTGCCCCCGCAGAAGTACTTTGACTTCAAGTTTATCCATTTTCAAGTGCTGTCCGCGGTAAAGTCAAAGTTTTTTATGTATTGAATTTTAGTAATAATTTAATTATTGTTAAAATGATTGCACTGTAACTAAGTTTTTATTTCTATGAAAAATATAAAATTATTCCAAATAAATACTAAATGCATAACTAACGATTCAACGCTATACTTAAATTTTAAGTCAAAACAACCTAACAAAATGAATAATAACTATACTGTTGCTGATAGATAGAGAAATACTCAATTTTATGGTACCACATAAGAGATAATATATAGAGAAAATTTAAATTATAAATGTTTTTCATTTTCACAAAGTTCTGACATTTAGCACCATTTTCATCCTAAGCATAGAGAGCGCAGAAAAAATGAAAGCAAAACTTAACCAAACAGTCATGAATAATTGTTTCAAACGCACGACAGTTATTCATGACTATAAGGTTAAGCGCAACTGCCTGTTAGATTAACTGTTGCAAAGTAGCAATAGTTATAAATAAAGCATCATATTCTCTAAAAAGCGCTGTTTTATGTGAGACAGAGTTTTTGATTAACAGCTTTAATACAAGTTTTAATGTGACTAAATCTAACTTGAAAATTCGATACGCAGTAGAGAGTCGATTATCATACAGACCAATCGGGACCAAGGTCGATCCGGATAATGGAAGATCTGGATAAAAGGACAAATTTAAGAAACGATTATAAGAACGTTTTTAAGTAACTACAATTCACACTTTTTCCAGGCTTATGATTGGCAATTGTAGTAATGCCTATCATAGTATATTATTAATGGCGTGTTTAAAAGTTTTAATTTCTCAAAATTTTATTAGAAACCTATTCCCTTATTCGAAGCTACCCACATAGAAAATGTGCGAAACAAACATGAAAGTTTTTTTCCTTCAAAATCACCAAGTAACAAAAGAAGGCATTTTCAATCACTTTCAGATATTCTGAAAATAAAGAAGCACTTTTGCAGAGAACAAAAACTTTCTTTTAAAAGGTGGAAGAAACACTTCGGCGATCCGAATAATTGGACAATCCGATAAATCAGCTTACGGACAATCGGCTCTGTATAACAGTGTTCCCCAACCTTTTTATCACCCCGAGCCTGTCAGTGTTCGATAATTTTATCGCGGACCGCTGGGGGGGGGGCGTTGATTGTTTATATTTTAGATTATTTTGATTTATTCATTTTAATTTAATTGTATTTAAACATGCCTTCAAAATAAAATACAGTTACACCAAAAAATAAATATAAAGTGATTTAACATTTTAACTTACTTAAATCAATTAGTCACGATCGAGAGAGAAGACCAAGTTCTTTATTAGTTCCAATATAAATTTCGCGCCGCGCTTTCATGTTTTATTTATAATATTTACAGTTAGATGATTGATTTTTTTAAAATTAAAACTAATTGAAAGAGAAAATAGTTACAGTGGTTTTTTCTTNTTTTCCAAAATTTTTTAATTTTTTTTTTTTTTTTTTTTTTACTTTTTAAAACATTAACAAATTTATGTCACTGTCTACCCTTTTTTTTAAATAAATAAAATATTAATGGAACTATTTTTAATTTGGGATTTATTTTTAATTTGGGGTACTAACCCAGGAATTTAAATTCAGTTTCAATGAAATGGGCAGCCCGGTACCATTTGATCCACTGACCGGTACCGGTCCGCGGACCGGGGTTTGGGGAACACTGCTCTAAGTACAAATTTCAACTCTACTTTTTTCCATATTTCGAACACACTTGACACGGAAGAAAAAGGAAAGATTAAAACGAACCTCTATTGACATCGAATGGACATCATTGAGAGCTGAAAGCGTCCCGAATACTGATATGAGATCGATGTTGATTTCCCAAATTCCGAACTGAACAGGAGACATCTGTTCGTGTCGAGTTTCCAACTCCTGATGTGCACCAGTTCTGAAGAAAACAACCGTCTTCAATTCAAGTTTCTGGGATTCTACTCTCCAAGCAGGTAAAGATGAACCATCATAAAATGATACAGCTACCTAAATTTAAATGACAATAAATATGTGTTACCCGAAAGTATAAAGGATGCTAAGTTGTTTTGAAATTTATCACTTTTTCACCATTTCAAATTAACCATATCATTGCATTATTCTTAATGATCAATTTAGTCACATTTTTTGTAAAGTAATTTTTTTGTATACATATACTACGTAATGTGGGGTAGGGGATTTGTTTTTAAATGTTTCGGTGTCTTCTACTTGCAAAAAAACTACATTTAGTTTTTAACGATTGACGCATAAATACGCAAGATCTAAATAAGGTATTTTAATTTACGATCGTACCAAATATATTCAATTCATAGTTTTTATTATCTTATCAAGGTTATTATCTTAGTTCGTTATTATCTTAGATCAAGGTTATTTATGAATAATTATATGACAAAAAAAAAAGAATATCTAAATCAAAGCAAAATATTCACTCGCATTTGAGGAAAAATAATACATTTCAATACCGAAACTATAAACTCGACAATTGAAATATTTTGTTTTTTCAAACATTATCCATACAGCTAATAAAATGCTTCTGTTTTTTTATTATCGTTTTGTCCTTCATAGCATTCAAATATGCTTTTGGCTGAGTTCATGATATCCTTTGGCTAAATTAGGGGAGTCGTATGTTACGCAAATTAGGCCTCTTTCATTTTTCTCTATATAATCACAGTATTACGTTAGAAAAAGGCACATGAGGCCAAAGAAACTGTTCTGGAATGCAGATAGCAATTAAACTAATACTTCGGGATATTTTGGACTGGTACAACATAGATATGGTGTAGGATTATGTATTATGAACCGAATTATTGGAAAATTAGGCTCTTTGCAAACTGTCGACGTCATTTTGCAATGCGCTAGCAAATTTGATTGCTATAAGCCTTGTAACAGTCGGCAGATTACAATGGGCTGGATTTTTCAATTAGCTTACAGCATAAAAAAATATTACAAACAAAAACTATATATGTGAGGTGATGCAAAGAAATTTGAATAGCATTATAGATCCAAAAGTTTTGGGCAAACTAAAAACAGAATGCCCCCGACAGTGTGGGTATTTATTTTGATGATAAAAAGCAACACATAAATCTTTTATGAATATGCTAAATTGTGTAAAAGTGAGATGTCCTGATGATTGTGTAATTGTCCTGTGAAAGTTTAATTTCTCTGTAAATTTCGTGAAAACCAATAAAACCAATGTGAGTATTAAAATTAATGAGTGATTGCTTGAGAAATGGTTGAAAAGGTATACCCAATCTTCAGTTATGAAAATAGTCATAAACAGACACTTTATTTTGTACTTATTGGAGCTTCGGTAGATATAATGCTAAATAAAATTATCGTTATTATACACAATAAAGCACTTAGTACAACGTAAGTCACACTATGTCTTACTTTTATGGAATACTCCTGAAAATCATGTGTGTATTTTAATTTTCAAATTCTTGATATTTAAATTGATTTATTAAACTAATATTTTAACATTTGACATCAAAATTATACTTTTTAAAATAGTTAAAATACATTAACACTAGGTTTACGGACGTTTCGTATATACCTATCTCTACGAACACTCGTCAATTTGACGCATAAACGAATACATATAACAGCACTTACAGAGAGGCCAACACTTGCTCCGGACAGCAAATATATATTTTAAAGTGGTAGTTTATCAATTGTAATTCTTGGTTTAATAAAATCAATTTAGTAGATTGTTATCCACTACTATTTCTAAATAATTCATAGGCTTATATTATTCACCACTTTATACTTGCAAAATTTACTTAGTAGTTATTTACCGTTTTTTTTAATTATTTTGGTGCGCCCAGAGCAGTTGGCATCTCTGCACTTAGAAAGCAATGTAATTATATACTATAAGAAAAAAAAATTTAAATATGAGATATATATTTTTGAAATATTCTAGTATTTTATTTTTCAATACTCGAACTAAGCAAGTGAAACCTTTAAAATCTGACACTCTGACATCAATTGACATTCTGTGTTTGTACTTTCTATTATTACTTATCGTGAACAGTTGTTTATCGCTTGTTTTATTTGAGATAACGATATCAGATAACGGATCGAACGGTCCATGCATTCTTATTTATTATTGATGTGATGTTTGCATGTTTACTCAAAATTTTGTCTAAATTACGATTGCGTCAAATTGACGCATATCCGTAGAGATAGGTATACCACAAAGAGAATTTCAATATTTCAACTCTTTTGAAGAAAATAGACTTCAATATATATTTACCTCGGTCAATGGATAAAAGTTATTGCAAGAGATAAAATAAAAATAAAAATACAAACCGGTTTTGTAATTTTCCTCACACAATTCGAAATGCGCCAAAATGACGCGTCCCGTAAACCTAGTGTTAAAGTGTTATTGTAGCGAATACAATATTGTGTTAATATAAAACTGCAGATCCTTACGTAACATTTGAAGGGCNTATTGTTGAATAAATAAGTGCTTTCTTATATACCTATCTCTACGAACACGCGTCAATTTGACGCATGAACGAATACATATATAACAGCACTTACAGAGATGCCAACTTGCTCCGGGCAGCAAATATATATTTTAAAGTGGTAGTTTGTCAATTGTGATTCTTGGTTTAATAAGTTCGATTTAGTAGATTTTTATCTATCACTATTTCTAAATAATTCGTAGGCTGATATAATTCACCACGTTATATTTGCAAAATTTACTTAGTAGTTATTTACCCTTTTTTTTAAAATTATTTTGGCGCGTCCGGAGCAGTTGGCATCTCTGCACTTAGAAAGCAAAGTAATTATATACTATAAGAAGAAAAAAATTAAAATATGAGACATATATTTATGAAATATTTGAGTATTTTATTTTTCAATACTCGAACTAAAACCTTCAAAATCTGACATTCTGCATTTGTTCTTTCTATTATTGTTTATCGGGAACAGTTGTTTATCGCTTGTTTCATTTGAGATAAAGATATCGGATAACGGATTGAAGTATTGTCGGTACATTCCTATTTACTATTGATGCGATGTTTGAATGTTTACTCACAATTTTGTCTAAATTACGATCGCGTCAAATTGACGCATATCCGTAGAGATAGGTATACCACAAGGAGAATTTCAATATTCCAACGCTTTTGAAGAAAATAGACTTCAATATATATTTACCTCGATCAATGGATAAAAGTCATTACAAGAGATAAAAGTAATTTTCCTTATAAAATTCGAAATGCGTCAAAACCTAGACGTTAATGACGCGTCCCGTAAACCTAGTGTTAAAGTGTTATTTTAACGCGTACAATATTGTACAAATATGAAACTGCAGATCCTTACGTAACATTTGAAGGGCATTGTTGGTTTGAAAACTTGAGGACTGGATCCGAGGAACCTCAGTTTTATACTTGATTTGAATATGATGGATTGAGCGAATCCCACTTGTACCTGACTCATGTACCTCTCTCCAACTTCGATGTAAACAGACAGCTTAGAGTGGTCCAGGTGGGAAATCATTTTCCGAAGATCTGTCATGGGCAGTTTGAAATCCAAATATCCCTCGAACTGAAAACCATTTATTAAAAAACATCAATAATATTATGTAACACAAGAAGTTTTGAATGTAAACATTTTTATTTTTAACACTGGAAAGACTGCAACTTAGTGTATATCTATGTTTGCCCAAAAGCAGTCAAAATGACTGAATTGTGAAAGAATAACTAATGTGTAAAGAAATTTGTTTAAAATTAATTTTTAATATTTGTTATTTCATTTACAGTTATATAACAAGTTATTAGTAAATGCAGTCGGACTTTTATATAACGAACTTCCATTTTGCGAATTTCTCTATTTCGCGAATTTTTTCGAGGAACCAAGAACATTTTGGAAATTTCTTCGTAAAATAACTTCCAAACAGCGAAGTGAATTTTCTATTTAACGAACTTTTCTTTGAGATCCACTTTCCCTATTTCTCAAAATACAATGTGAGCTTCTGCTTGTTTTTATCACTTACAAAGTGAGCTTTTCTTTAGAAGCATAATAAATAAATCCTTTTCATAATACATATCGCTTAATTATTTAAAGCCACTAAGCTAAAAGTTTTAACTTAGTTTTTAACACACCTTTTGCTTATACTGAAACACATAGTTTCATTTACAATAGTTTCATTTACAATAGTTTCATTTACAGTAGTTTCATTTACAGTAGTTCCATTTGCAATAGTCTAATTACATAGTTCCATTCTAAATAATCGTTCAAATTTGTTGAACAGAGTTATCTTAACACATTTCTTTCAAATATTAAACTGTTATTTATAAGACAATTACTTACGTTGTTATATATACATTTGTTATAGTTCAATTTACAGTAGTTTAATTTACAGTAGTTTAATTTACAGTAGTTTCATTTACAGTAGTTCCATTTGCAATAATCTAATTACATAGTTCCATTCTAAACAATCGTTCAAATTTGTTGAACAGAGTTATCTTAACACATTTCTCTCAAATATTAAACAGTTATGTATAAGACATTTACTTANATAAAAATATATAGTCTTAAAAAATAATAACCCGCATAATTTCTACTAAAATTTTTATTTTTGTCTGTATTATTTTGTAAATTCACTTTGTCTGAGCTCAGGGGGGGAGGTTTAAACCCCTAAACCCCCCCTTGCGTACGCCCCTGTGTATAAGACATTTACTTACGTTGTTATATATAAATTTGTTATAGTTTAATTTATAGTAGTTCCATTTGCAATAGTTCCATTTCCAATAGTCTAATTACATAGTTCCATTCTAAACAATCGTTCAAATTTGTTGAACAGAGTTATCTTAACAAGTTTCTTTCAAATATAAAACCGTTATTTATAAGAAATTTACTTACGTTGTTTACAAACAATTTAGTTTCTGGTAGTTGCCCGAAGTCTTTATATTGCGTATGCAGAGATTCAATTCTCGCTTTAACAGTTAAATTTCCAAACACTGGTGATCCGCTTGTGTAGCTGAAATATAACATTCAGATTGAACCGAGTACATAACTTGAGTGAAATTTAAACAGTGGTAGAAGGAAATTACTTACTTGGCTGTGACAAAACCTCTCACAACTTGTTCATTTTCCATAATGAAAGCTGGCAAAGTTACATTCACTTCAAAGGGAGTCTGATCTAACAAAAATGCCATTAATTACCATTCCTCTGAATACTGTTCAATTTTTAGAAACATAGTCAGATTTTTATTGCGTTATATTGCAGAGTGTGTTCAGTAATGACATTTCAATATATATTTTTAGAGTTTTCGTAAAAAAAAAATGAAGGCAGAATATATACACATTGTAGGTTGAAAATTCATATTGAAGCTCAGAAGAAAGCAAGAGAGGTGGTATCCAAATCTGGAAAAAATCACTGCTGAAGAAGGACGGGCTTATATATAATAACAAAAAAAAATTTGCTTGATTATTCAGGTAATCAAACACGTTTTGATTGTTTTGTACACCCCGTTCAATAAGGATTAATCAGATTCGATAGCGTTTTCACTACCTTCTGCCTAAAATGTTAATTTTTGACCCTTACTATGGATACTTTTTTGTCTTCTTTTTTGACAAAGAATGTAAAATTATATATTATTGCAATCATTACGGGACACCGTGCATATAATTTAAATACAATTTTCTAAATGTAAATATCTAAGTCAATGGCGATGAAATTAACAACGTCTAATAATTTTGATACGCTACTTAATAATAAGCATCATAAGTAATTAGACAGATAAAATAAGAATACAGGGTGGTTGTAATTAAAGTTACCCTGTTTTGACCTACATAGAGTTCGTCCTAGAGGGCAGATGACAATGAGACTTGGTATATACTTTATATGGATTATGGGAAAAAGTAATCTGATAAAAATAAATCCCATTTCGAAGAACACAACGGTTCGAAATACCGGAATCGGAAATCAGCAAGTTATCGTATATTATTATGGTTTCTTTTAAAAAAAACTTTATTACTATCTTGAAGAGCTCTATTGAACTTTAAAATATTGCATGAAATTAGGAAGTGAAATATAAAATCGTATTTAAAAATGAAAAAAGAAAATGTAAATAAGAAAACTTACAATACTCTTCTATAAAAAAACTTTTTTCTTCTACTTGCCCCTGTAAAAAATAGATCATTGATTATTTAAAACAAGAGATTATTTTAAACAATGTGGAATAAATAGAGGATAAAAATAATATGATAAAACAAGAGATTACTCTAAACAATGTAGAATAAATGGAGGATAAAAACAATATGATAAAACATTATTATTTTAAAAAATGTAGAATAAATAGAAGATAAAAATAATATGTAATTTAGTAATTTCGTTCAAAAAAAAAAAGAAAGAAAGAAAGACATAGCGCTATAAAATTTTCACAAGTACAAATTTCCCAAATGATGTCAAAGTTGCATTTTTTTAAATAATATTCAGTTTTATTAGATATATTAAATGTGGCGATATCATCTGCAAAAAGAAATGCTAAAAGACATTCCTGGCCTATTTTAATTTTTAATATTATTATTTTTAATAAATAAGAAGTAAAAGATCCATAAAACGTTGAGGCATCATGAAAAAAGCTAACATCTAACTAAATTTAAAATTAGTGAAGTTCCGACAAAAAATTATTCTTATAACTGCTTTGTTAAATTATTTCAATAAATAAGTTAAATGAACTAAGCAAATTGCTTCGTAACATCAAAAAAAACCTGGTTCCGAGTAGGATCAAGAAAACAAAAAAAATACAATATCAACCGAAAATTTGATTCCTTCTGCCATTGATAAAATTTTTTTGTCGAGAGAATATTATTTATAAATTAAATATAAATTAAATATATA